TTTTCGGATTTTTCATACATAAATCTATTTTTAAATAAACATCTACATCTAAATCTACAAAAAACGTTATTTTTACACCATCTTTTTCGCAAACTTTCTATTTTACGTCCTGGAAATGTTATTAGCAATTGCACACGAATATGTTGATAGAAAATTTCATTGTGAACAATTTGACATCTAGCTATTTTTATCACAGGATTAAAAACGGGACCAGTAACGTACATTTTTCGATCTAACATTTTTCCTAATGTTTCCTTAACTTTCTCAGCTGAAACATATCGCAATTCTGGTTATTAATAACTTCCAGAGACATTTCTACAAAAATATAACCTCTAACTCAGTAGAACGAACCCTCAAACCATCCTGTCTGGGCTATTATGACACTTTCAAAATGGAATGGCAAGAATCATTTACCTAAATAAATTTAATTAAAACGGAAAGTTTCGTGAGCTATTCGGAATGATTTTTAAAAAGTATTTTAGGTGAGATCATGATGAAATTTGGATTCTTAATTCATATCTAACTATATAAAAAGAGAAATTTATAAGTCTATTTTCCTGTAAATCTTTTTACCGCCTAATTATCTGATATGTTTGTTTATAGCAGGGGTTCCCAAACTAGTGAGCGCCCCCTACCTGTGGGGCATCAGGACATGTCAGGGGGCGCGAGAACAGTCGAAAATTAAATTAAATTAAGTCTTTTTAACATTCTAAATTAACCATGAAGATTAGAAAATTAAAACAAACCACTGTAACATCTGACTTTACACATAAATTTAATTTACACATAAAGCACTGCCTGTCTCATTCCCTCCCTTCTTGAAGCTTCATATGAGCTATCACTTCTGGTTGTTAAAGAAAAGAAGAGCCACATTATTTGAGACGCTTGCTAAACCGTGTTTGTTAAAGGCAGCTGATATTATTCTTAAGACGGAGAGTAAGCAAAAGTAATCTTACATACCTCTTTACAATACTTTGAAATGTCGCATTGATGATATGGCCGAAGACATACAAAACCAGGTAGTTGATGCAGTAATACAATCGCGATTTTTTGCTATTCAGCTAAACGAGAGTACAGACATAGCACAATGTTCTCAGTTAATCGTTTATGTTCGGTATATTGAAAACAAACGAATGAAAGACGATGTACTCTTTTCTACAGAGTTGGAAACCACGAAAAAAGCTATTGATGTTATGAAAGCAATGTCAGACTTTTTTGACAAACATGAACTTTCTTGGTAAAAACTGGTTCTCTCTCAGGATTTGTACAATTAGTAAGAGAGAAAAATGCTGATGTGACTGGGATACATTGTGTTATACATCGACAAACCTTGGCAGCAAAAACTCTTTCAAATGAACTGCTTGATGTCTTAAAGTTGTGTATTAAAGTAGTAAATTAAATAAAAAAAAACAGTGCCTTGAATACTCGACTGTTTAAAACTCTTTGTGAAGATTTAGGGAGTGATCACAAAACACTACTATTTCATACAGAAGTACGATGGCTCTCAAAAGAAAACATGTTGGCAAGATTATTTGAACTTCGAGATGAAGTAATCACCTTCTTGGAAAAGCAAAAGCAAAATGAACTACGCGTGGCCTTAAAAAACATTGTACCCAAGTAATATTGGCTTATTTGTCAGACATCTTTGACTTGTTGAACAGCCTTAACCTAAAACTGCAGGGTGGAGACTCAAATATAGTTACTCCGAGATGTATATTAAGAAATTGCAACTTTGGAGGCGTAAAAAATCAGCAAACCCCTGCAATTATTCGAGTTTCCCTAAAGTAGAGTCAATCGCAGAAGAAACGCGCTTTAAGGGCATTTATGAAGGATCAAGTTTGAAAATCCAAATATCAAATCATTTGGAGAGCCTAATTGAAGAGTTCTAAGACCCCTAAGAAAAGTAATGTCTCTAAATCCATCAAAAATCAATTACTTCCAACAAAACCTAGAAGATCTTTCTTTAAACCAAGTAGATAGTGACTCTGAGAGCACTTAGATCTATTTTAAAGATAAGGTAATCGAGGTTGCAAAATACTGTGAGACGGAGGTTTCCACAGGCCGTAAGTCGTGGATATCAGATAATACGTAGACTGTGATTCAACGTAGAAAATAACATAAAACTAGATAGGGAACAAACGATGAATACAGAGTGTTAACGAAACTACCGCACACCGTCACTAATAACACATGCTAGTAAAATCTTGTTGCATATAATCAAAAACAGATTAAAAACCTATCTACATTACCAAATACCTCAGGAACAAGCGGGGTTTGTAAAGGATAAAGGTACATGGGAACAAATTCTGGACCGAAGACAACTCATTGAAAAATCTAGAGAAATTCAAGTACCTATAATTATATGCTTCGTTGACTACCAAAAGGCATATGATTGTGTAAACTGGATAAATCTTTGGTCCATTTTATCAGTCCAATATATCAATAGTACGACCAGATCAGAAGTTCTCAAACCAATTTAAGACCGAGAGAGGTGTTAGGCAAGGATACGTGTTGTCACCTGACTTATTTAGGACCAAATTAAGAATTCATATGGAGATCAATGGAGAAAAATTGTTAGGAATATTGGAAGAACTCACGATCCTCAGTAATGGAGAAACGGTATTTGGAAAAGGGCATTTCTTCAGTTCCTGCCACGAATACAAAAATTTCCTGCACCGATAATTACAACAAAAGGTAAGTGGTCACTCTTTTGAGGTAAAAATTATGTTGAATTGTGTCAATTGACTATTCTTATATTTACAACCATATACATTTCTTTTTTACCGTTTTACTTAATTAACCAGCTAATTTTATATTTCCTTCATAAACATATCTTATTGCCAACGTTCGATAAAACGTCGCGAAAAGAAAAAAGAATAATAATTACCACAGTGTTCTAAGATGTACTTAGATGTGCTGCATAGAATTACTTAGTCAAACGTTACACAACTGCAAATTAAGGGGATAATATTTAAGAAAATAAATGAGTATTTTGTAACCCAATGCAGATTTGGAACAATTGTCATAGCATAATCGGTATTAGTTCATAATATCTATGTTGCAGGCAATAGGTGTAACCCGTCATTCCATGAAAAGCCTAGACATTACACGTATTGCCGGCAAACGCTGTATTACTTTCATTATTACTTTGTTTAACTGAAATTATGCGCCATTTCAGGGTCTGCAGTCCCTGGCAGACGACAAATGGTGATACCGGCCGAATGATTGAATGTTACAGTGTCTAACGGTTGTATGTTTAGTCAATTCAGTCGTCGAATTAAGATTTTACCACATATCTCGTTGCAAGGGTTTATTATTATGTAAATATGGATATTCACAAGGGTGTATTTTATGAAAAAGTAAACCAATATTATGAAGTGAATAAAGACGCCAAAAAGCCGTAGAATTATGATGAAATGAATGAGGTAAAAACAACTTAAACCTAACCTTAAATATGAAAAATGCGCGGCCGCATCATTCGAACTGTAACACCGTTCGCCTAAAGCGTAAAAGGCAGTTCGTGAAACGGTGCATAATTTCAGTCAAACAGAGTAATAATGATTGTAATGCAGCGTTTGCTAGCAATACCTCTAATAACTAGGCTTTTCCCGAAATGACGTGTTACACCGATTTCCTACGACATATATATGCCATAAGAAAATATCTTCTCAGAACAGTATTTCTGTTCATAGTCAATTATTGCACCTTTAATTTTTAACCTAGAAATATAAACTGAGCGACAAAAAAACCGGCCACTTTATAAACATTTCTCTTTAAAATCTTTCGCACAAATTAAACTGTAGTACATTACGTATATTTTCTTATGTATGTGATCCTTACAAAACTAGACAATTGCACTAATGAGCCATGCACTGAAAATGTTCCTGAGTATAATCCATAATATGATTTATAACGTAAGGTTTATTTGTAATTTAAATGGTAAGATTAGCGACAACCAATTAGGCTTTAGAAACGGTATGGGCACTAGAGGCTCTATTCGGAATAAATGTACTGATACAAAGAAATCTAGACACGAACCATGGTGTCTACACATTCTTCACTACTTTTAAAAAGCATTACAATATGGTCTGATACAACAAATTAATTAACATTCTAAAAATAAAGAACATTAACGCTGGTGACATTAGAATAATAACAAATTTTATTGGAATCAGAAAGACAATATAAGAATTGAAGATAAACTATATTATAATATTTTACAGGGGTGTATATTGTCACTGATGCTATTTAACATACAGTGAGGCCATCTTCAAAGCGACTCTAAAAAATTGTAAAGATGGCACATATTTACATTATGGATGGATCATATTTACTTTAACTTTACAATCTTGGCAGATATATTATGACTAAACGAAAACTCTCAAAAATATAGAATATAGAATGAACTTAAGGAAGAAACACTTCATGGTTATCACACAATATCCACTAGACAATAAACATTACATAACAATATTCAAATAAAAAGAATAAACAGGTACAAGTACTTGGTAACCTGATTAACTCTTAATGCAGAGCAAATTCAAGAGATTAAAAGTCATAATAACATTGTTAGAACCAAATTTGTAAATATAAAGAAAGTATTATGTGATTAAAATCTAAAGACCAAAGGACAAGGCTTTTGCAGCGCTATATTTGTACAAGACTCCTCTACGGCTCTCAGGCCTGGACACTGAAACAATTAGAGATAAATAAACTAAAAATATTTGAACGCTGGTACTATCGTAGAATGCTGCATATATCTTGGATATACAGAGTTACCAATATAAGTCCTAACCAGATTAAATAAAAATAAGGAAATCATTCAAACTATTAAAAAGCGAATACTGTAATATTTTGGACATTTTAAGCGAGGATCAACATACAGATTGCTATAGTTGGTTATGGAAGGTAAAATTGAAAATACCAGAGATAAAGGAAGAAGGCGAATCTCGTGAATAAAATTAAAACTGCAATGTTATCTAATAAAATGAAGCCTAGGAGGCAGACACTGGTTTAATCCCGAAAAGATCTGCCACAGGACAAAACTCATTGTCTAGGCTTTGAAGAAGTCGTCATAAAGATCCTTTTAGGAACCAAACGTTTAGGAGGAACAATATTCTGACTGCACCATCTTTAAACAATTATCTTCGAAGATGGTTCTGTTATAATATGGCCAGATTATTTGTGTGAAATAAATGTTGTAGTCCAGAGATATATGTGAGATATTCGTCAAAGAGCTGTCATCTCATTTGCGCCTTTTATTGAAGAGAGTGATTGAGACTCCTCAAGAAAATTTTGAAGATATATAATGATATGCATTGTAGGTTTAATTAGCTCTCTGCCACAACAGTTATATCATGAAATTAAGTCCTGATGCAGATAAACATTACTCAAAGTTTAGCAAGAAGTCTATTGAAAAACTATCGCGATTTTGTAAACATAAAAGTTTATTTAAAAATTAGTCTTTTTGATTTAAGTATCACTGTCAAATGATTATATAGTTGACAATATTGTCAATTAGATTTCATGAATGCTTTATATACATTTTATGGCCGGTTTTTTGCCAGTCAATGTTGTGAAAGTGGTTTTCCTTTCAAAATATCGAGATCAAATTATTTTGGTATTCTAGTATTGCAATTACCATGCAGAACCACAATGTCATGTTCACATTTGAAATAATTCGAAAAAATACTGCTATAGCCATGATCTCTCCACCATGTACACAGTTGTCTGTTGAAGCCACAATTTAATGTTTGGATGAGATGAGGGTATTCATAGCCTACTAGGGTGTAGAAATCTTGATCCCCTAAATGGCCCCGGAACCTAAAAAATATAAGTAATGCATGTTTGAGAAAGAAAAAATATCTCAAAAAGTTTAGTCAAAATAAAAAACATTTTTATGTATGTAGGAAAATAATTCTTCTTAATAAAGATAGACGACCAAGAAGAAGACCACAGATGAAATAAATAGATGACATCAAAAAATATCTGGAACAAATTGGAAGTATGTTGCTCAGGATAGAGATCCTGATCTATATGTCCAAACATAGACGATAGAAGGTTAAGAATAAAAAAAGAAGACTGTGATCATTTTACTAGCTTCAAAGGCATAAGATGTAAAAATTGTAGACTCCAAAACATAACATCAATAAAGACTTAATAAAGTTAAGTGAGAAGAAACTTTTCAGGCTACAGGCTTCAGGCTAGTCCACTGGTTTCAACTAGGTAATCAAAGCACAGTTTTTCAACAAGATCTGTGATTTGTCCTATAGATACCACTATCAAGATTAAACAAGAAAAATTATTATCCCGAAAATATCATACTAACTAACTACAACTCTAAAAAGAGAATTAATATTCGATTTGTAATCAATTAAGGACTGATCATCATCATCATCAGTGGTGCTACAGCTCTAGTTGAGCCTTGACCTTCCCCAGTCTATTTCGCCAGTCGTTTCTGTTCATCGCCAACCGTTGCCAATTTGCCGCGCCGATTTTCCTTGCGTCCTCGTCCACACCGTCCCTCCATCTCAGTCGTGGTCTGCCTCTACTCCTATTTCCCACTGGGACCGATAATAGAGTTCGTCTGGGTGGGTAATTCTCATTTGCTCTTGACACATGTCCAGCCCATCTAAGCCTGCCTATTTTTATGAAGGATATTACATCTCTACCATTTACTATTTTTTTATATTTCTCGTACAATTCGAAATTATATCGCCTTCTCCAAATACCATTCTCACAGAATGCGCCCATTATTCTTCTTAGTATCTTTCTTTCGAAGACGAGCAGAAGATTTGCGTCTGTTTTGGAGATGGTCCATGTTTCTGACCCATATGTCAGCACTGGTAGGATGAGTGTTCGATATATTATTAGTTTGGTTTTCTGGCTTAAGTTTCTGTTTTTTAGCTGCTTGCTTAGTCCAAAATAACATTTGTTTGCTAGCAGTACCCTCCGTTTAACTTCTTCAGATGTGTAATTATCGTTTGTTATGAGAGAACCCAAATATGTAAACTTATTTACTACCTCAAAATTATATTGGTCTATACTGAAGTTTTGTTCGGCGTTTCTAGCTCTATCTCTGTTATTTGGAATAGATGCTAGCATTTTGGTTTTTTCCTCGTTTATTTTAAGGCCCATATTTTGTGCGGCTGTCAAGAAGGTGGAAGTCATCTCTTTAAGTCCTCGTGTAGTACGTGCAATCAAATCCAAATCGTCAGCGTACGCCATAATCTGCGTTGATTTATTAAAGATTGTTCCCCTATTGTGTAACTCGGCATCTCTTATAGTCTTTTCTAACGCTATATTAAAGAGAAGGCACGCCAGCGCGTCTCCCTGCCGTAACCCTGCATATGTTTCAAACGCTTGTGACATATCGCCTTGTATTTGCACTCTGCAGATCACTTTACTCATAGTTGTTTTTACGAGCCTTATTAATTTATGGGGAATGTTAAGTTCATTCATGGCTTCGTATAGTTTACCTCTTAGGACGCTCTCATACGCTGACTTAAAGTCCACAAAGAGATGGAACGTGTCAATATTAAATTCATTGGTTTTTTCTAAGATTTGACGTAGCACAAAAATCTGGTCAATTGTTGACCTACCTGGCCTAAAACCGCTTTGATACTCACCAAGGATTTCTTCCACGTAAGTACTTAAACGGCTGTACAGGGTGTTGGAGAATATTTTGTACATTGTATTCAGAAGAGTTATACCCCTATAATTTTTACATTCCAACAAATCTCCCTTTTTGTGTAGTGGACATATGATTCCAGTGCACCATTCCTCTGGCATTTGTTCTTCTTCCCAGACTTTGACTATTATGTTGTGAATTTGGTGCATAATGCTGTTACCTCCATGTTTGATGAGCTCTGCGGGGATACAATCCACTCCTGGGGACTTGCCATTTTTGAGTCGTGTGATTGCGTCTTTCACTTCAAATATTGAAGCAGGTTCTACGTGAGTGTTATTTCTTGGTCTTTGGGGTGACGCATCATTTTCCACTTCGGTACCAAGTAGTTCTTTGAAGTGCTCAACCCATCTGCTTTGTACTGCGTCAGCGGTACTAACTATATGTCCATTTTTGTCTCTACACATCGTCAGCCGTGGTTTAAATTCTTTTCTTGTCTTATTTAGGATATTATAGAACTTTCTAGTTTCATTTTGCCCCTTTAATGATTGAAGCTCTTGCATAATCTGGTTTTCGAAGGTCCGCTTTTTCCTTCGATGTATGCGTTTTTCCTCCTTCCTAAGATCTTTGTACATTTGCTCCTTATCCCGTGTTCTTCTTTGTTGCATAAGTTTATATGCAGAATTTTTTCTTTTAGTGATATCTTCACATTCATCGTCGAACCAACTGTTGCGTGGAGTGGATTCTTCTGGTCCTAGGACGTTGTTTGCCGCTTCCTTAATTGTTCTTCTACATATATCCCATTGCTCGCTAGCTGTTAAATTCTCATCTGTTGTGCTTTCATGTTCAAGGTAATTTTGATACCTTTCTAGTGCATGGGGCTCTTTCAAGAGTTTTAAATTGTATCGAGTACTTTTCTTACCCTTTTCTTTTTTTGCATTTGAGATTCTTGCTCTTATTTTTGCGCCTACTAAGAAGTGGTCTGAATCTATATTAGCTCCACGATAAGTACGTACATCCATTAGATTAGAGAAGTGCCTGGTTTCTATTAGGATGTGATCTATTTGATTTTTGGTTGTACCATCAGGCGACGTCCATGTTACTTTATGGATATTTTTATGGGGGAAGTAGGTACTTCCAACGACCATGCCCTTGGATGCTGCAAATCCTATTATTCTATTTCCATTGTCGTTGGTGACGTCATGAGCGCTGCATTTTCCGATGTATGGACTATATATATTTTCTTTCACTATTTTTGCATTAAGATCTCCAATTATGATCTTGATGTCGTTTCTGGGACATCTATCGTAGATGGTCTCTACTTCCTCATAGAATTGATCTTTGACATCCTCTTCTTTGTCTTCGGAACTGGAGAATTAAGGACTGATATTCATTTCAAATGTACCTAATAGGTTCTCATCGCTTTTCGACAGTGTCCATGTCTCTGATCCAAATACAAGAACCAGTTTTATCAGGATCTTGTATATTTTGCATTTGGTTTATCTTGTGATGTTAGATCTTAGATGTTTACTTAGTCCATTATATGTTTTATTAGCATATGTATTCTTCTCTTAACTTCTTCACTGATACTGTTATCTGCAGTAACTAGTGAACCTAGATATGTAAAACTTTTCACGCTTTTGATGTTATAGTCTTGTGTTGTCAGATTCTGTTGGTTTCTTTGGCCTGTAGACAAAACTAGAAATAGTTTTGATACCTTATTTCTAAACCTAAACTTTGAAAGCAAATTCACTATAACAGTTAATATATCTTATATTTACCTATATTTAGATGTCATTGCTTGAACAGTTCCATTTGAAATAACTTTGGGAAACTCCAAGGATTTTCTTTGAGCAACAAGGTTGATAAGTACCACACCAGAATTGTAACCTTGAAAACCTCTTGGATGGACCTCACTTGATATATTATTGTCATGGTAGAACTCTCCAAAGGTTGTATTATGTTTGGCTTTGTACATATGAAGAATATGTCGATATACAGGAGTTAACTCAGGGGCTAACCCAAACAGAGCACCAGGCTTGAATCTAAAACAAAATAAGTACATTGAGCAAATTAAAGCAAATAGCAGCGGTTAATTTCATAGTAAATAATAAAAAACAAGTGATAAATTTCATTAACTTACCTATCAAACTCATTAAATAGTAATGATATGTCTTTTTTAAAGTATAGATCACAATCAAGTAAAATGGCATAATGTTGGCTTTGTGGGGCTATTCTGTACAATCCTAACGATATATAAAATAATGCATCACTATAATAAGTACCTAAAATAAATAAAATAATGGTAATTACGAGAACTATGATACATCAAATATATTTTTAACAAATTTAAAAACACTAGTGGTGGAGTTTAATGCTTAATTCAGTGAACAAATGAGCAGTGGCATGTCTACTGTTAACATGATCAAACATGTTTAACTCTTTTTAAATTTCAAATATTTTATAATCCTATCATCTAATTTAACTTCCTACCAAATATTTTTATTAAATTAGTCAATGCAACTAATATAGTAGCAAATGATCAACAATGTTAGAAATAATGTAAATAAAAAAAAGTTACTTAGAAAAAAATCTAGACCACATAAGTGACATATTCTGATCATTAAGTATCTTATAGTTGGAACAATTCACATACTGAGTTGATCGAATAAGACAAAAAACGAAATCTTGTTACATACATTTTGAGAGAATAGACAACCTTTTTGGAACCAGCTTATCACCCAAAAGCTTCAATGAAGACCAGACCTATCAGAGATAAAAATTGATGTGACACACCACAGACTCATTTTTTGTGGAACATACCTACAACACCTAAGTTTTTTAGTTAAAGGTAACCCTCATTCAAGGAAAAAAAAAGATAGTGATAGAGATAGTGCAAGGCACAGTAGACGAAATTTGGTTTAGTCCCCTCTTCCATGAGAAACACACTGTTTGCACTATCTTTAACAAAATGGATAATAAATAGAAGAATCATAGAATAAACCAAATGATTGTTTTATGATTTTTAAACAAAATGAAAATACGAACTTGATCAACAGAAACAATAGAATATTTATAATAGCCAAAGCATAGATGCAGATCAAATTATTGGAATGAGAATGATTTTGTATTAGGTTTAGGTATATTATTTTTGTATATACTTAAATGTAACCTTTCTCTCATGTGCTGAGAGCATTTAAAGTAATATGTACATCAATACAAACATATGAATAGTATTTGGTTTTTACACACATTGATCATATCATTAGAAATCCCAAGATTTCCTACTTGGCAAAACTAATTTAATCATTGATCATACTTTACAATTATTTATTACTAACTTATAAAAATAATAGGATAATATATAAAAAATCTTTACCAGGTTTGGAACTGAAGTGTGGTGTCATCACTTCAACAATATCTTGAATTTTTTTGGCGCTCTCTTCTATATCATAAAAGGAATACACCAGTGTCTTATTTCCATAGATCACATCAGCTATTTGGTTTTCAGCAATACCTTGAGATACTTTATCAACAATAATATTAAATTTTAAAGGCACAGAACTAACATTTAACAAGTTGTGTATCAGATCTCTGAACTTGTAGCTAAGGGTAGAAACATTAGTAACTTTTGTGAATATTAACCAAATGTTATACTCCTTTGACTTTTTTGAGGCAGATGGCAAGAATTTGATGCTTCCTAAATCCTTCCTTACATTTCTTCGTAACTGTCTTCTTTGTTTAATAACGTCTTGAGTTAAAAGGGCATAATAAAATAGGAACAATAAACTTATAACTATACATATATTTAGGAATGTGTTGGTTCTTATTTTCCACATAACTGCACATTTTTTTTCTAGCTATGATGCTTTTTGAAAAGCTTGATTATTTCTTCTTGGCATTTCTTAAAAATGAAACAACAAACAATGTATCAAGACACAGTTGTGAGTTAAAATGAATAACTGTAAATGTATACAAACAGAAGTTCTTGTTTACTTATAAGGTTAATTTTTATTTCAAAAATGACAACCTGTTTTGTTACAACACTGTCATGTCTAATTTAGTATTTGTAAATGATTAAGTATTTTAAAGCAAAAGAAAATTTTGGCGATGATGTTATATTTACATAAGCTTAGAAATAAATACTCTTTTATAATGGAATAAATACTTAACTTATAAACTTTATAAGAAACAAAAAAAAAATGAATACTACACATTCGATATTTCAAATTCAAACATTTTTTCTGCAAAACGTGAAAATATACTACATTCTGACAACTACGCTCTGGGTCTATATGTTTAAGAAATTTTAATATTAGATAATTCACCTTACCTAGTTGTAATTTTGGTTGCCTGTAAACTTTATAAAGGTCTTAATATAAATTAATACTTTTTGTGCCATACCAGTCTATAGGACCGCTTGTATTACTAAATTCATTTTAAATTTTGGGGTATGAAGTTGTAATAACAACTACTTGTTACTATTTGTTTAAGTAGTATATAACTTGCTATATAACTGGTTAAGGCTAATATAACATTAGAAATAAATTCTGAAAATTAAGTTCTTTGCATTGGTATGCACTACCTTTTGAATTGAATTTATTAAACATTTTTCTTGAATTTCTAAATGTCTCAATTAAGAACAAAATTCCAATAAATGAACGAATTTCCCTATCATTCGTTAATCTTGCATCCCTATTCCTTTGGAACATATTTGAACTTTTTCAATATATTTATTCGTCGAAATAGTTATCATTTCGATAATTACGTTACTTAGGAAAATATTTAAACAGTTACCTTATTGCTGAAATTGCATTTCGTTAATCACCTTTTGGATCAGGAAAATGTTTTATAATATTATGAGAACGGATACGTGTTTGTATATTCCCTATCTTTTTTCCACTTATATTCCACTCTTTAATATTAGCAACAATAATTAATCCAAAACTTTACGAATTACTAATAGACTTCTTAGCGAAATTTGACACCAGGTTGTAAAATAAAAAGATTTATTGATTATATAACCTTTATTTTAACCTATTGAATAATATCGTTCCTATTCGAGGCCTGATTTTGGATTCTCTATTATAAGAAATACCCTGATGGACACTTGTACGAGAAGCGATTAACCTAGTTATTAACTTGTATTGTTTTTAAGGTATTAATTAAGCGTCTTCTATCTTTAAATTTAAATAGTACAAGCTTGGCAAGGATTCACAAATTACAGGCTTGAGACACTTTGTTACAGCTTGGCTGTCAGAGGCAGTAAATATTTTGGCCGAAAAAGCAACAGTTCTTTTGATGTGGTTGTTCTAAATGTGTAAGTTAAATTTATCTATTAATTCTATCAATGCTATGCAGAAAGCTCATAAGTCCACCTAAAAAATGTGTCACAGAAACTACATCTTTTATTTGTAAATTAAAACCATTATTGTGCGGTGTTAAAAATACCTTTACTTATCATTTTTAACCATTAAATTAATCGAAAATCTATTTTCGTTTACAATATAATGTTTTTTGCATCTCCTGAAAAATTTGTGTATTTCTGAATATAGCGATTCGTTTGCTAATTCGATCCGTCACATTTTTTAATATATTGTTCATTCAAAGAAAGTCAATATTAGTATGAGTATCTATTTATGTAAATAAATGATATTTAGCGAATTTATTCGTGCAGTTCCTTTCCCTATTTTATAAAACTGATCGGTATTATATATAAGCTTGATAGTGAGATGTTTAAACAATTCGAAAAACGGTTTTTAGAAATTCTTTACGGTGATGTAATTGCTAAGGTCATGTATTTATTTAATATTTATTTGCAAAATGGATTAACACTAATATAGACATTTTATTGCCAAAGTTTAACGGCAAAATGCATTGTCATTGTTTTTTAAATGCAAACGATGATGATGCAAAGCTTCGTGTCTGCGAGGTGAAGGAGTTCTTGTTTTACGGTTAGTGATTATGGCGCATTCACCACGAATACGAGGATCCTGTTTACAAAAGACAAACAGAAATTAGGTGTAGACTAACGGAATTTAATCTTTTGGTTCTACAGTTAATTATCATTGAATTTTTAAGTTTGAAAATGTAGGAAGCATGATCTAATATTTGGTATTTGGCTGCCCTAGAAATTCTGATATGGTTGATTTTTGTAACGGTCCAAAAATTTAGTACATCATTTAATTTGTATGTTGTGTAAGGTACTGCATATAATTAAACTTATGTATAATAAAATATGATAGATCATTAATATTTGTTTGAAAAGAAAATGGTTAGAAATAATACAAGATATCGGGTCTTTAGAGAAGCAAATGCTGATTTAGATCACAGAGTAGGAAAAGGAACTGGATTTTAGACAAACTAAAAAATAAAAAAGTAAAGAGTAAAAAACCAAGACTAAAGTGGGTACTATGCAACATTGTAATTTGGGGTCTTTTTTTTCAGCCGTGACACATATTTTGCGTTTTGTAGTTTAGTTTCGAAGCATGTAGTATGTAGTTCCATTTAATTATCGGATTCCAAGAAAAAAAGGAAAAAAAATCAGCGGCGGCCGGCCAGGTGAAGTAGGTGAAGGTGAGGTTCACCAAAAAAATATAATTAAATTGAGACAAATAAATAAACAATAAAAGCAACGTTATTATATCTAAATTCTGAAATTAATTATTCATTCTCTTTTAATCAATCTAAACATTAAAAAAGATAACTAGCTTATATTAGCGGTAGGTACTTGACGGTCAAGTCATGACCTGTGTCACTAGCCGTGTACGATTTAGGAATAGATGAATATCATTTTTAAAATGCGGAATTCATCTGCACAAGCGTTCACGGTTGCCATGGCAACGTGACGTTAGTGATAGCTGAGAAAACTAGGAAGTGCAGATCGATTGAAAAATAAACTATCCGTCTTTACTCACTAGTTTAATGTGTATGTAGTATTCCTATTTTTCGGAAATTTTTCTCAGTGACAATATTTTGAAATTTAGTCTATTATATAGATATTTTTTAGATAGTATTGTTTATGTAGTGTATTTATTAGTTTAGTTTAGTCACAGTATTAAGTTTAATTGTTTAGTGCACTTTATTATAAGCCCATCGACTTAATCTTGTTTTGCAACAGAGCTTTACGAAAATATCAAAATGTCGAATTTTTTTTTGCAACTATTACCGGAATCCCATCGTTTTTTCATAGTTCAGCAAAACGATCGTACGCTCTTGCATTTACATCGGATAGACATATGCCAACAATTACAAAGACAAGTCTAATTCAAAATTAATCAATGTAATTATTGAAGACGGAAAAATTGAAAGAGCTTTTTGGTTATATAATGAATTCTGAAGAGTCAGACCGCAAATCAGTTTAGCTGGCTAAGGGTTTTTAAGAGATTTAAATGATTTTGAGTTCACATTTTTAGCAACAGTTTTTAGCGACATTTTTCATATAACAGATATTTTATATGATGTTCTTCAAAAAAGTCCCTAGATAATAATTTTTGTTTAAACCAGATAAGGAGAACTCGTCAGTTAATAAGTGATAAAAGAAATAAAGAATTTTTTAATTCTATTTTTGAAAAAGCAAGCACAATGACGGTCATTAATACTTCCAAGCGGTTTAGGCGTATCATATTTTTAATGGAAATGGATATACGTTTTCAGGATTATGATAAATTAAAATTTGTAAGCTTAGCAGATACAACAAAATTTATGTCATACACTTTGACCTTCCCTTCCGACGGTTTTCAAAATTTATTTGCGTTTTATGGCACACAATTTACTTAACATCAAAGACTTAAAAGTGAGCTCGGCCTTCTTTATGCCGACGAAAATATCAAAAATGTGAATTTGCAAGAATTGCTTTTAAAGTTGCAACCAATTAAAGACATTGTTGCAGAAGCCTATAATTTGTTTTGTTTAATTCTGACAATTCCATCGACAATCATTTCCATAGAAAGAAGTTTTTCGTGCTTAAAAAGGTTACAAACTTTTTACAAAGAAACACTATTTCACAAGATAGACTATCCAGTTTGACTGTTATCGCACTTCATAAAGAACTGTTGAATGAACTTTTGCAGAAGCATCTTTTCTACGAGGATATTATTGATAGATTTGCCTTCTTAAAAGACCGGAGAATCCAATTGATTTATAAAAACTAGATAAGTCAGTTCTATTAGTCTATCTAATTTTGCTTTTTTTTTGTTTAAGCATCTCTTCACCCTCAGTTCTAGTATCATCACCATCATCATTCCGCAACTTCTTGCATCCAATTTTGGATATAGGTTTCCTCCATATTCTTCTATTGTTCTCTATCTTGTGCCATCTGTATAGAATTTCCCACTGTTTTTCTCAAGTCATCCATCTTTTTGGTGGTCTACCTCGGTGTCTTTTATCTTCTCTAGGTCTCCATTCGATGAGTCTTTTGGTCCACCTATTATCATTTAAACGTGCTACATGTCCAGCCCATCTCCATGGCGCCTCCCCAGAAGGTGGAGAGAGAAATGCCTCCTAGATATAGGTTGTACCGGGGAAATGAAATACTCGGGGTGGACCAAAACCAGTAAACACTGCAATGTCTGATCAATGAATGAAACTCAACAAACCCGTTTTACCAGGCGTGGTGTTTTAATCGCCAAAAAACCCTCAATGAAATGTCGAAGGTTCAGAATTAAAATAGTCCAGGCAAGCAGAACAAATTGTATCTAGTATAAGTGCTTTAAAAACTGTTTTTAAATTATTAGAGCTCTAAACTCTACATTTTTTAACGAATTTTTAATGAGATATGGGCGCGACGTAGGTACCAAAACTCCTTTTGGCTCCAACAAGGTTTCCTCCTCTTCGCCACTTTTTTAGGCCACGAGCCGCCGCTGATAAAAAATAATATACATGTACAAAAATTAAATGAACATAGATTAATAAAACA